ATGAAACTTCACAATGATGTTATTCTTAGTCAGCAGACCCCCCCCCCTCCTCCAAAGCATGTCGGCAAAATCTCGCTTTCCTTTTCTTTGCCTCTCTCTTTTTTCCCTGGGTAATTAGCCAGCAGGTCATACTGAGTAATGGTCTGGGATCAGTCCAGAGTAATTACACTGGGAGAGGACTGACCTCGGATATGCCTCTGCCTGAGGGTGCCTGTGTGTGTGTGTGTGTGTGTGTGCGCGCGCTTGTGTAGGTGTGTCGAAGAGACACAACAAAAGCAGGACAAAAATTTGAGATGAAGAAAGTGTGTAGTATGTAGTGTGTATGTGTGTGTGTGTGTGTGTGTGTGTGTGTGTATGTGTATGTGTATGTGCCCCTTTCCGACCTATGGACAGGCAGAGACAAATCACCCGCTGCCCTCAACTGGCCCCTCCCTGCCACTTTCAGAAGGTCAACCCAAATAAGAGACAAATGGCTTCTCTTGCTCCTTCTTCCATAATGACTACACCTCAATTAGGGAAAACAAATGTACTACAAGATAATCTGTTCATTTAGGCAGCATAAGGATAAATTACAGTTGAGCGTATAGCATCTGCTCAGCTGACATGAGGATAATCTCTTTTGTTCTTTACCATCACAACAGGAACACAGGACACAATGGCACCACATGAAGTGACTTCTCAGTAGCACCCTTTAAATACACAAAGCTGAAAGCAGCACCATGTATACCCTTGATTTCCTTTCTTCTTTTTTTTTTAGTGCTGTAACATCCAGCTGAGATGGAAAGACAAACCATTTACTGTTATTTAAACGTCTTTTTTTTTCTCCCTTATCACAATAAAACAATAAGGGAGTTACTCAATGAGGTTACTGCATGTGACCCCGGTGATAACCTACCAGTTGGCATTATCCCAGTGATAACTACACTATTTATGGTCAGCCTCTCTATCTAATGACCCCTCTAGAGTCTAGTTACTGTATAAGTGAGGTCTCTCTTCTGTGTTAAAATGAGAGCAACTCTTTGTTTCCATGCTCCAATATAACAATGTAAAAAAGGACACAAGTCCAGTTATTTTGTCATTTATTTTGCATATTAATCCTTGTCATTCTGCTTCTAGGTAAAGGGGAGGGAAAGGGGCTGGAAATCCATGTGAGACAAAGTTTCTTAAATTTGAAAGCTGGCCTGACAAGTGATAAGAAAATTTGCTATTTCTGACCACAGGTGGTCTTCGCTTTTCTGTCTAGAGATGTTAGATAGAGCTGGTTCTGCAGTGTTTGATGGATTGATGAGCAGCAGGCCTGCCTGTCAAGATAAGGTTCCCCGTCTGGCTGAACACACAGGAGCACAGCAGATAAAAATCAGAGCAAGTCTAGTGTCTACAGCCTGAAGTGAACCTAATGGTCGGGTTTTTCTTTGTCATTTTCCTTGAATATGCTTCAGCAATTTAACATCACTTATCACATCCATTTAAAGTCATAACATATACTGTGGATTCTTGTAGGTCTGCCAGCACTTGAAGCTATGTCACAGTTAAATTGAGCCAAATATTAAAATCTATTTTATGGCTTCACATTATACAAAATGGAAAATTCAGGATGCCTTGTGCATCATTTTATACACATTTCTCTGTAATTCAGCTTGACGTATTCACTATCTTTGGAAACCTTCAGTCTGTGACTAGAACTCAAATGGAATACATTTAGGAAGTGCTCGTAAAATGAGTTTATAAAGATGACTTTCACACAAGATCCAATATATATTCAAAGCGCTGTATATATTGAGGACACTGAGGGCATCTCATGCTGCAGACAATGTAGTTTTGGTACACATAAATGTAATAAATTGGCAACATGTGTTAATCTCATGTCCAAAAGTAAATGTGTCACTCAGTGATCTACCACCAACTGCAGTTCACTTTACATTCTGTGTATGTGTGTCCTGATCTCATTTCACACTGCCCTCCCACATCAACACCCCAGTGTATCTTACTCTCTGTGACGCCTAGATCAAAGTACAGAAGGATATTGGCTAGGAAGCTGACCGGCGCAGATCACATGACCCCAGAGAGAGGAAGTGCACTGCAGTGAGGTCACACAGCAGGGAAAACAATCACGCTGACAGAACACGGAAGGAACACAAGGATGCACAGGATACTCTACGTGTGTGTGTGTGTGTGTGTGTGTGTGTGTGTGTGTGTGTGTGTGTGTGTGTGTGTGTGTGTGTGTGTGTGTGTGTGTGTGTGTAAAAATGATGTGTGATGTCATTTCCTCCTGGAAAAACTGAATGGGCAGGAAGGCAGCTTATCAAATAGACTCGTGACATGTTGACAGCCATATGGAAACATATGAAAGAGCATTAAATAATTGCTGCTTGTAATATTGCCAACATTTTAGATTTTTCATAACTGTATATCACATAATTATATACACCTTTTTCACACATGCCACTAGAACAAAGTGTATTCATGCCTTGGTTATGACTCAATAATATTTCAAACCTGTGGCCATTAAACATGGTCCTCTAAGTAGGTGACCCTTCACTTAGACCCCCATTATGGCCTTTCCCTGTGGACAAATAATTAACTACAACCCCCATAATCTAGAAGAGAGCCATTTAAAACCTTCAGCATAGACACGGATGAGAAATTAGTAGACAAATACAGTAGAAACATGAAGGCAACATGACACACAGTGTTTGAGACGGTGTGTGAATATACTGTGGGAAATTTGCCTATGAAATCGGCCAAATGACAAAGTGCAGTATTTCAGAGACTCGTTGGTATTTGAGCTTAGAGCCAGTATAAAGTACAAACCATGATTATATAACACCCAATGGCCTAAATCATCAGGAAAACAGACCCTTCATTATGTTTCATCAAGAGTTAATTCTAAAAATACTTGGCAATGTGGTTATTAGTGATATGGGGACACTGATTTATGCAATCCAATACAACATAGTTTTCCCTTTTTATGGTCGTTTTGTGATCTAGTTTCATGACTAAAAGGCACACATAAATAAATAGCACACAGAGCAGCAATAGTTAAAGCGGCTATAATTAATATTCTTTTTATAATAACATTTAAGTATAATGTAAGAGTAATGCACATTAGGGGTTGTAGTGAGGAGCTCATCACTGGATACACACTTGAGAGCAGGAGAAAAGTGTCACACACTCTGGCTCCACATGCAGTTTTTCTTGAAGAGGGCTTAAGTGGAAAAACGTCATCTGTCTTTTTAAAAGAAAAATGCATATGGAGCCAGAGTGTGCGACACTTTTTCCTGCTCTCTTATAATAACAATGTGTCCAATGACAATGTCAAAACAATGTGAAAGGGGTCGCTCATGGTGATGAACCTAGAGAGAATTTTAAGTCAGATCTGCAGTGTGTGTGTGTGTGTGTGTGTGTGTTTTTGTGTGTGTGTGTGAGGACAGGTTTGTGTGACATTTAACTACATCACTTCAGTTTACAATGGCAAAACTGAAAATCAACTGAATGCAAACATACTGTATCTATATTATGTTGTTTCGCATCATATCACACAAGCTTCATCATAGAAACTCATGTGACCCTGTGGACTAAAATCTGTCTCTGTCTGTTGCATATACTTTTGCTGCAAATGTAACACTGATCACTATTTAACTGCCATACTACTGTTCTGGTGCTGCCAAGGTCATGCTTTCATCACATAACAAAAACCACCCCGGCTCCAATTCTGCATTAAGAACAGACATGGATTACCACAAGTACAGACAGACAGTCTGCTGTTTCTACTGACAGACAGGCCTCCAAGGACATGGTTACTTGTATTACTGACAGACATCCAGACATCAGATTAATCAAACAAGCCATTCCTGTAACTGGCTTTTTTTTTTCTTAGTGAGAGATCTGATACTTGGGTCAATGTGAGTGGCGAAGGAGCAGGAAGATATGAAGTAAGAGGAAGTTCAAATGAGTCCAAATGAAATGAAATCTGGAAAATGTGACGTTTTTTAACCAGTGGGGGTTGAACGTAAACTAAGTTACAGCCAAGAGTGAAAAGTTGCCCTTTCCTCATCACATAAGACAACGTTTTTGCTTTTATCTGAGCATAATATAACCTATTACACTCACTTTAATCTGTTTTCCAATGATGACACTGCCACATTAAACCGGTAAATCTGTGCTAAAGCAATCCCACAAGCTACTGAGCTAAATCACAGCACCAAAGCACAGCTCTGCTTCATTAGTAATTTACTGTAATTGCTGTAGTTGCTTTTATACATCAAGCCAAAAACTTCATGAGATTCTATATGAGATCCAAAGGAAATGATGTATGAACAGCCAGAAAATGATCAAAGCATTTTAACAAAGTACATCATCTAATCTACTCTCAGTGACGACTTAAAGTACATTTGTACTATCTAGAAAGTTTATTTTGTTCCGCATTTGTTCTTAAAGTGTGTTTTGTTTTCAGTTTTACATTACGAACACAGGTTTGGAGGAATTCTTGGGGCCTTGGGCCTAACTTCTTCTATCTTTAGTGTCAGTCAAGATGGCTATTGTTATGGAGCAGCTTGGAGACAAGCCACGGTGCCTGGCGCTGAATTGGGCACTCGATTGACAGAATCTTCATACACAAACCCATTTTGTTTCATGTACTCATTTGTCATGCCTAATCATGATGTTTTAAATGAGTTTAAAAAATACACATTATTCAACATTTTTACCATGAGATGACAGATTTGTGTTCCAATGATTATACACTAAAAAGTTTCTGTTTTTTTTGTCTTCTCTGTCTTTCCAGCAGCAGTGACAGCAAACTGATGAATAGAAATAATAACTAGGGTGGATATCATAAAGCCACCATGACTGAACAGGAAAAGAGTGATCACAGGGAAGTGAACATATCACCAAATAATATAATATATAGGATAATAATCTTCTCATAAAGATGCAGTGTTTAGTTTAGAAGAGAGTTTAGAAGAGGTGTTTGGCAGGATATAAGGTTAAAGCAGACTTACTGTCATGGTTGGGGGATTTGCGTCCAGCATGGTTAGGAGAGGAGCAGCGGAAGGTGGTCACAATGGTGTTGTGGTGTGGGTTGGGGTGGTGTGGGTGGTGCACCGCTGGGTGGTGGCCGTTGTTCTCCGGGGGAGCTCTGGTGATGCTGATATCAGGTTTACGTACATCCCCGGGACTGGGGGGCTCAAACTTGCGAGCATGATTCTGCTCGGGGATCCGGCTGGTCCCATTGTTGTTATTGTTGCCCTCATTGCGCCGTATCACTGGGGAGTCAGCCGGCGTCTTGGCAAAAGTGACCTCCCTCTTGTGGCTCATCTCAGGGGTCTTAGAATGGCCCAGGACTTCGGGGCGTTTCAGGGCGCTGTTGGTCACAAAGCGTGTGGAGGCGGGGCTGGTGACATTATCCACCTGCTTGTTGGATGAAGACGAGATGTCGATGGAAAGTTCAGAGCGGCGTGACACAGGCTCGGGGGTCTTGGAGCCTCCTCCTCCCATAATGGAGCGAGGTTGGGTGTAGTTGAGGTTGTTGTTGTTGTTGGCGGCAGTTCCCAGGTCACGGTAGTAGATGCTGGTGGGAGACATGGCATTACGGTGGGGGGAGTTGGTTGTCCGGCGGGAGCCGGGGGAAGAGTGAGATGAAGTGTCGACATCTTCCACCTCAAAGGATCTCTTCAGAGCTGCATGTAAGAGACATAAACAACATTAACAGATTAATCAATGTATGGATTAACATAGAATGAATTGGGAACTATACTGGTAATCATTTGAGTTCTGTGTAGGACAGTATTTTCTGATATTCTGTAGTCACACCATTTAACAGCAGATGAATTGATACTTCACTTCATAATGAAAATAATTGTTAATCACTGTGACTAAACATTGTTGTTGTGACTGAACAACAGTTTTCTCTATTTTGGTCAATTTAGTTTGTAATGAGCCTGGTGACCACTGGTTTAATCCATAACAATATCTTTTCTAAACTTATCCATTTATGTGTAAACTAAATGAAGTGAAGTAAAAAAAATTAAATTCCACATTATGGAAAAACACATGTACAAGCACCTTTAAATTATACTTCTGTAAAATGTAAAGCACATTTACTTTCCATCAGAGTATAAAACAGAATATAACACATTGTAAGCCCATTGACTCACTCTTGGCTTACAATTTCTTAACCAAAACAGGCTCATCTTTCCCTTATAAACCATTTATGGCTCAAGATTGCTGTTTATAGGAAGTAGGAACAATATCATAAAATATTCATTAAAAAGGTCATGGCAATTAACTGAGCAGTAAACGAAGTGAATCGTTTTTCTTAAACACTTTATGAACAGTGTCCAAGTAGTAAAGAGCCCGAGGTCCGAGGGTGTGGTAGCTGTAGAAGCAATTTTGGTGGCAACACAGAGGAAGCAGCATGCACCACCAATTAAGCCATACCTATCTAATTGCATTACATTCCCCATCACAAACGCTTTTTCACTACAGTGCATGACATGAAGTTGATTCAAGTGTTGTTTGTCATGACTTGGATGCCACGTGTGTGGCACACTACAATATAAAATTCTAGGGTTTTACACAGAGGCATTTGAAGTGTTTCACGACATGCTATAATGCACGCAAACTGCTGAGCATTTAGGCAAAAAAAAAAAAAAAAGGCCCGGCCTCCCTGTGTATGAGCAACACGAGCACAGAGACAGAGGCACATCCTTCGGTTGTGATGTGATAAAGTGGCTGCAGTGTCCAAGATACGAAGAGTGAAGACACTGAGGGATGGAATCACCCCCTGGGAAGAGTGCACTGACTCAAACTCAATTCGAATTTGACTCCCATCGTGGAGTTGCTGTGCCAAGCCAGTGGCCAGGAGCTGCTATCATAATGACACACTAGTTAGACCAGTCTGCTCACGCACACCCTGAAGAACATCTCCTGTTAACAACAATCCAAAATCACAGTGCTGATTATTTGATCTGTTTTGTGGCTTGTGGTATGTATGCGTGTGCGTGTGTCTTTATGTAACTATACAGTACGTACTTCTGTTCAAAGTGCTTTTAAAAAGGAGCGAGTATGTGTTACGAGAATGTATACGTGTTTATTTTTAAGCGGCTACACCCACAGCGAGAGGACCATGCCCCAACCCCACTGCTCTCTGCGTAAAGCTGAAACTCTGTTGGGGGATGCGGAGCTCAACACAATCACATCAAAGCTGTCTCCCCACACACATCAGCCAGCACCACTAATCTAATTTACTGCTGTAAGCTGCTTCATTCCTACATGCTGGACATTTGATACAATTTCCCCCCTAACAAAAATTCAGGCCACAGCCGACGTCTTGTTCTCTTTTCGTCTTAGTGGGACACACCAAGGACGTTCTCGTTCACCACAGGAATAAACGGATCTGCGCTCACGTCTTGGCGTTTATGGTGATTTGTGTTACAAATCTCCTTAACCCCCCCACCCCTCCCTGTACACCATTTATCTAGACCTTGAAGCACGGTTACCTTTCATCTGTGGCATTCTTAGACTGTAAGAGACTGGTTTTATATGTGTTGCTAAAGCTTTAAGGCTAGCTATAGTCACCCCAGATAGTTTTACAGTACTTACATTATGTGTGACAAGCGTGAAATGTCCCTTAATACGCACACAAAAGGTCTTAGTGTCAAAAACACAGTGAAAAGCGACTCATACCCACTTCAACAGTCATTTTCTCACACTCCCATTGCTTATTTTCTGTGCTGAAATTCTGATGCGATCAGAGTTCATTATCCAATAAGGCGCCATAAACAGCTTTACAATCCATCCTTTGATAGATATACATATGAAAAAACTGTGGCGTCCAAATCCACAATGTCACTGGACTGTGTCCTTCTTACCCCTGCTTTCCTCTGTCTTGTTTTTTTATGGTTGCTGAGAGGGAGTCCAAGGCTGTGGCTACTTTCGACTCTGGCCAGAGAATAAGCTGGTCTGCCAGAATCGGTCTGCAGATTTCATAAGGAGCTGAAAGGATGAGATGCACGCTAGACTGTATTGTGTTGCGATTCATTTTAACCTCCTCTGAGAGTCCCAACACTTTAGGAAACTGCGTAGACTCTAACATCTCGTGACCCTCGCTGTAGACTTTTGTTACATTTTGGAAAAGCTGTAAATGTGAGAACTAAAGCTGAACATGGCGGGATATCAGGACCCATATTCACAAATCTTTTCATAATAAAAGAGCAGTACCAAGACGTTGTTTTGCCAGTGACCTGTTAAGTGATCTTAGATTAGTAGTTGTGCTCCTGGCTGCTTTGTGATTATATGCCCTCGGGCACAGGACTAGAGCAGAGGACTGTTTGTTTGTATTTAGAGACTGTGCATTCAAGTGTACATGATTTGTACAAGAAGAAGTGGATCTAAATCTTTCTGTACTTTGAGGCATTTCTCACTTAGATGATCGCTCAACTTCTATATTTTTGAAGGGTCACGCTTCTTACCACAGACTCTTGGGTTTTTCGTGCGATCAGTGGTAGTTCAGTCTCCCTCTCTTGTTTAGCTAAAGCAAAAGGGGAGAGGAGGGATATTCTTTGCTTGAATATTATAAGTATAGCATCACAGAGCAAAAGGAACAGTATTTGTGCACGAGTGCGGGACTGACAGATGGATGAAGGAGTATTGTTCCCAGTGAAGCAGCATTCCCAGACTATGAGAGCTGGAAACGAGAGGTCCAGTCTACCTCAGCGGAACCTCATTAACAGCAGCCAGGAGTCTCGTCTCCCCGCGTCTCTCCACTACCTATCACCGCCCAGTGTCCAGTATCTCACAGTGTCTCATGTGGGAAGATAATGCAGCGCAGACAATAAAGCTCAGGATTACTGGCGCAACAAAAACAAAAGATGGAGGCAGCTGTATCCTTACTTTGGTTCACGGTCATTTGTTCTAATACAGCCCAGGTGTTAGGCTACGCTGCCTCTCTATCATCAGTGTCATCCTTACTGAAGGACATCCCAACCAGTGAACACAAACATTCAGTATCATCTCAGCCCAGATGCACTTATAACAGATAGTGGGGAGTTAGAGGGAGGAAAGCAAACAGAGGGACAGGAGGGAAGGAAGGAGGAAAAAGAGACTGGAGATAGAGACAGGTTGCAGGGCGAGAAATGGGGAGGTTAATACAGGTCAAGACAAAGTCGACATTTATTGAGATTATTAATTATTCCTGTTAAAAGTTATGTGACACTAACTGATGATCATCTAGAATGACAGCAATGTTAAATCTAAAATACAGGCCAGGAAACAATGTAGACAACATAGCAAATGCTCAAATCTTTGCTGCTCTGAGTTACTATCAGCAGCACTGCGCAAAGGTTTTAGGCCCTAAAAGTGAAATGAGGATACTTTCAAAAATAATACTATGAATGTTTTTTTTTTCATTTATCAATTAACTTCATACAAAGTGCAATAAACAGAAAAAAACCCTAAAGTAAATCAATAGTGTAAGCTCCCATTCCTTTTAAAGCAGCACTAATTCTGTTTAGTACAACACTTTTTCAAGGTAGATATATTGTTTTAAGCATCTTGGAGAAATTGCCACAGTTGACTGAGTGGATCTAGGCTGTTTTATTGTCTCTTCATATAATCGCAGACCGACTCAAGGAGCAATTCATCCATTTTGGTGATTAATATTGAGCTGCTGTTAATGACTCTTAAAACTTCCTACAGATGTATCACAATAAAATCCTTCCAGGAAAGCGAAGGGACCATGCCTCCTCATCTGCCAAACTTGACTTGTGTGAATATGAAACAAATGGGAAAAGTGCTGAGTTTGCATGAACAGCAAACAGCAACAGAAAATGATCAGGTCAAACGAAAGCAGATCAGAAAACAAAGTCTCTGACTAGCACATGATAAAAAAAAGGGGAAGTTAAAAATAAACGCCTGATTCTCTCTTCCATTGGTATTAACAAAGGTTGAGATCATATTTTGTGAATTTCCCCGGCTTCACTTAGCATGTAAACACAAATACCTTCATGATTAGGCAAGCTCCTAAACTCTTACCTGTTTAAAGGAGAACCTTGCACATAAAAATGCAGTCATGCAGTATAGTAATGAGAAAAAATTCACTGCACCAGTATTTTAATTAATGAAGGATGGACTTTACCATACGTAGCCTTGAAATCATAATCAGTCTTGTAATTCTAGCCACAGACAATAAGTCAAGTGTTCGAAACTCTCTGTCAAACACTGGTTATATAAAACCATTTCATGCACAGTGGACTTTATCTGATGTCAGTAGCCACAGAATACAAGTCGATGCGGTCAGACCAGGAAAAACATGACCAAACCTCCCATCTGACAAGGCCAAACAACGGACGATAGAATTTCACACTATGGTATTTTGCTTGGTCAGATGAAACTTTAATGCTACACTGTCGAACACATACTTCCTCTTACTGCCCACTGATGGTGTTGTATTTACTAATGCCGACTGGCAGCAGTACAGATCACTGTGTCAGATTTAATGCATGGTTCCCTACTGGTCTGGCCAACACCCTGTGTCCAGTACAAAGGAATTCTGGGAGTGTTATAGGTGTGTGGAAAAGAGAAAAGATGTGTTAGAAGAAGTTGGTGCAGAGTTTGGGTCAAATTCTTCAATTTCTTGCAGTAATGTTGAAGCACAAGAAGGAATCTGAACCCTAATTAACAAATAGGCAATTTCAAAACTAATTGAAGATTTCAGATTGTGCGCATGCACACACACACACACACACACACACACACACACACACACACACACACACAGAGAGAAAGTTATTCAGGCAGGCTGTTGGTCTGGTGCTTAGCTTCAGGCTCTTTAGGCCTCAACCTTTGACAGGTAGAACCTTGTTTTGTTCCTTTGATCAAGCGTTGGCTAACTATCTCACTCATGAACACATTGATTTACATCAGCGAACAGAGAAGGTATAAAGAGAGTGGCTGCATTCCACTTAACACCTGTTGACACACACTGTTTGGACTTTCAATTAAGAAAGAGAGAGCAGGGGAGAGAGAAGTGGGAGGCAACATGGACTGATACAGAGAAAATTCCACGTAATGACCTCAAAAGCAGAAATCCAAATATTTAGACCAAGCACTTTTTACTTAGAAATCACACACTGACAGAAAAACAACAAAAAAAAAATTCTCAAGAAGGCAGGACATTGCCAGTAAATTATTGGGTAGAGAACATGATGATGCAGAATAAGCAGCTCTATTTAGAGTCTGAGGGAGCTTAGTGTGTATGTTTGTATATCTATGTGAGTGTGTGTGTGTGTGTGTGTGTGTGTGTGTGTGTGTGTGTGTGTGTGTGTGTGTGTGTGTGTGTGTGTGTGGTTCCGAAAATAACACACAGCATTATATAAAAATCAAATTTTTATTTGACTGGACTTACACAGGCATACTTGCAATGTCTTACATGCTATTTTTTTCTGCCACCTGTGGTTTCATATGACTGTCTCAGAACGAACAGGACCACAGAGAACTGTTAAGAGAGTGTTGTATTTACGCACATAATCAACTTAAACCAACCTTAATAACACACTGGCCTCGGAGCCGGGTGTAGAAAATGTACCACACGCATGCAACTCTCTCCATTTCTATGTTAATTTCCTCTCTGTGTCCACATGCCACACTGGAGCAACAACATGGCACCTTTAAACAGCTAATCAGCCCAAATACTTTGGACTGGACACAAAGCTCAGTTTAGGTTGGCAAACGTAGCAGGAGCCCGTGTCCGACTCGACAAAGCCCCTCTGAATATACAAATAAGGGCTCATTCTGGGCTTATTCTCTGGTGACTCATAAGTTTATATTCAACAGAGGCACTTTCCACCTTTTTAGAAAGTCTTATTATTGTTTCACTGTGTAGTTTCTATGGTAGTTTCTATCATCCATTTTCCGTAATAGTCACACACGGGTCCATCCAAAGAGGCATTATTACATCTTTAGTGTGCTCACCAATTAAATTGCCTCACCCTGTCTGTGCCCATTTCCTCTTCAGTGTGCGATACAGCGCAGTGCAATGTACTGGAAAACATAATGATCTGGGATAAAATGGGGATTTACTCAGTCAAGTGTTTGCCATGCACCTCTCTCTACAGTTGTTTATATACTGCATGAAAAGATTAGATTGGTTTGTACTAACCTACTGGTGGCATACATGACATTATGATGGTCACTATAGTATATTTGCTACAGCGAGTGCTTTCTGTGCATCGGTGGTAGGTACACACTGAATCTTCTCAAACAATACGTTATAAGAGTACACGCAGGGGGTGACTTCATTTTGGCCTTCCAATAACTTCATTTAGGAGTTATCTATTTGCATATGGCTTTATTGCCTTTTTATGTCACTCTGAATAAACTAGCTAACATGAGCTTCCTATCCGCCTGTAATATCGCATTTGCACCAAAATGGTCTGTCAGCAAATACATATGAGAATATCTGGACACCACTGACTGAGAACTAGGTTACTTTCAGCCATAAAAGCTGGGGAATATGCGAAACAAACTAGTTTGTGTGACGTCTGACCAAGCATCAACAAGTTTGCTGTGGTTTTTCAATTCACTGTTGTAGTATTTAAAACCCCAGACAGATTTTTTCCAGTTGTTTCAAACTTTGCATGTCAGTAAGACACAGTAACTCAACTGATTTATTAAATAAATGACGTGGTGCAATGTAGTTGAGCGCTCACAAGATTATTTAATAACTACACTTAATAATGTAAACCACGTTATCGGAAAAATCTTAATTGTTCAAAACCTGCATGTACTTCCACTGAGCGAGATATTTGCTAAAGATGTGTACTTTTTTCTGGCTTCTGCTCTCAGCATCAGTCCATGACATCTGACAGTGACTCTCAGGCCAAAGAGCAGCTGAAGGGAGCAGACTGAACAGAGGAGGAACAGGAAAGAAGTGGGAAAGGAAGAAAGACAGAATGGCAGAGGAAAAGGAGGACAAAGAGAATTAATGCCATTTCCACACTGGCTTAGAAAACAAAGGAGAGACACAGTTGTGAATGTTGTATTTGGGGTTAGACAGATGTTAACTCTTAGAGCTGAGGTTTCCACTCTCTACCTCTAACTCTTAGACCTTTCAGCTGAGGGCTTTCCAGTGCTGGAACAGTGCTGGTGTCAGTGCTGTGTTTGTTTCTATTATTGACATAACTTGGGTATAATCAATAACAGATGATAGTCTACATGGACTTGGCTAGAATATGCCCACCACCCTGTTTTTAACAGTAAAAATCAGACACAACCACACACACATGCTGAGAAACACATGATACAAAATACTTTACAGACATGCACACACAGCACATTTGCACACCCAGTGAAAAGATATTGGTTGATATTAAGACTACACGCAAACAGAGTATGTCTGACAGATGCTGTTTCTTCCCGTAAATGGTCAGAATGAACATTTTAAATGACAGAAAAGTAGAAAACAAATAACAAACCTTCAAAGTCAGAAATAATTCCCTCCAAGTGTGGATTGACTCCAGAATCAGACATCTTTTCAGTCATGAAATATCACAGAACTTTCAAGAAGCTCCCTGTTAGTTCTGAACAAATTCCAAAACAGAGTCAATGAGAAACAAGTCCAAGCCCACAGCTCTCTTAAAGGAGCAACTTATTTTCTCTGACTTCCCACCAACTTTTCTATATCACTACATTCAGGCTTCAGAGAGAGAGAAGGCAGGTCCCCTCCCTTCTCCTCCCCTCCCTGTAGCAAGAAACACACTCCCCCTTCTCCCTCGTGTCCTGTGTGAATGTGTGTGTGAATGCGTGTGTGTGTGTGTGTGTGTGTGTGTGTGTTTCCCCTGCCCCCCACACACTCATGCATGCAAGCGCAAGCACTGACAACAGACCCTGTCATACCCTAGGACCCTTTACGACCAAAGTTGCTCTCAGGTCTGATTTCCTCATTCAGCCTCTGAGCAGCTGTGACTGTGAAAGTGGACAAGATGTCACACAGTCACTTTGACCAATTTAACCTGCAATCAGACACGCTCCCCTGATACAACTGTGGCTCCTCAAATGGCCCTCAGAAGGCTGCTTTCAATCAGCTACAGAAGGATCAGAATTGAAGTGAGTCTGAGGCTTCAGTCTTGAGTAAACATCCTCTCAAAAAAACCAGCCTGGTATCACCAAACGCTGTATGAATAACACACCAATTTCATAAGTCATTTAGTTTGTTTGTTATCATATTTTGGCAGTTCTTGTGCCATTTCAAGCCACGTCCTTATTCTACTAACCTCTGACCCAAACCCTAACCCTACCTAAAACAACATGCGAAAAGCTTAATGTGTGTAGACACAACACATGACATTTCCTTATAAGTGGTGTGCTGTTTCTACACGATCCCATGATATCATAAACACTGGCTGACATGTTCATTAAAGTGCAGTCAGTTCTGTAGTAGCTGCTGTCCTGTCACAGAAAAACCTGAGAGACTTCCTGGAGAAAGTTAACATTAGGGATATGCGTTGGCGCCTCTGGGCAATCAGAGGGGTGATTCGTGCACCAACCCGCCCTCTGTGACACCGCTATCAGGGAGACCATGGGAATTTGACCATGGTAGACAGAGTTAATCTAGCACCGAGGACTTCTTTTGTGAGGGACACCGACGACAAGCTGGCTTTTTAATGTAGTGGGTATGGTTACACTACTGGTCCTTGAAGCCGCTGTGGATTATTTGGTGAATGGTCTTTGGAGGGACAGAGAAACACTGTTGAGAAGGCGTTGATAAAATAATCTGAAGTGATGAAGAATCAAAGCTGGCCCTGTGTTTACGTAACCACTTCCATTGTCTCCCTGTGGGATGTGCTCCAGTATTTATTATCCGTGAATCTACCACAGAAACAAAGCAACAGTGATGATATCGCTGCAATTACTGATTGGTCATGAGTGTGTGGCTTTTTGCCGCTTCCTGTTTGGGGCCAGATGAAACTGCACATGAGATTTGTGATAAATTGTCCCTGATGATAGGTCATTTGACCATTTCCACAGTAATGGTTAAAGTCATGTCAGTGAGTGTAGCCCCCGGCCCCCAACCAGTCCTCAAAAGAAACCTAAAACTAAAGCAAAGGCCATGGGAATCTGGTATTTTGTACTTCCAGATATTCAGAGATACTATCAAACATCAGATACCACAAATCACACACAATTTTTCAGCCTTCAGCCTAAGCAAAAAGGCACAAAACACTGCTTGGCACTTTTACAGGCTCTAAATAGTTGGGAAATCCCATTTGAATGAAAAGCTCCATTCAAAGGGGCACTAGTAGGATGCCAAGCCCACCCAGTGGCCCCTAACCCTAACACCTGAGAGGTCGATGGTAAAGCAGAATAACACTGTGCGTTTATGGTGCAGTCTAGTTGTTTTATAAAACTGCTGCAAAGGTGTCTCAGGATAGAGAACAGAGTGTGGTGGGGGTGTGTGTGCACAGTATTTGCATGTATCCATCAGGCAGGAACTTTACTAGGTAGATTACAAGTCCCCCGAGAAGCTTGTTGTCATGTGTTGTGCAATTAAGCTTCAAGCCAATCTTGTAAGACAGCACATAATATGCATCATACATCCTGGCAGCTGTGTAAGGCCATTTATTGTTAATGTGCTGGCTTGTGCTTCCATGCATGTTTATGGATACAGTGCACCATGACATGCACATAAAAACACGTCAGTATGTGCATGTGAATTAGTCTTTCACTACATCTTTCATTACATGTACTTTATACAGTGTAGACACACACACATTATATATATATATAACGTAATGTACTATACATAACAAAGCATTTGGCCCCTCAGTGCCCATGTAGGACCAAGTGCACTGTAAACCATATGCCACAAGTATTCAATTAAACCAGATGACATGGTATGTGAGGTACACACCTCCACCAGCCAGTGTGTATTTATCTAAACATGGATACACACTCTGGGCTGGCTGTGAGGCAAAGCTGAGCAACAGAATGAGGGAAAGCTCCAAAACAACATCTGGAGGAGCATGTGTATGTGTGTATGTGTTTGTACTGAAAGTAACATTATGTGCATATGCGTCTACGCATACACGTGCTCATGTGGTTACTTGACCGTGACTGTGGACACGGGTGTGTTTGTGTGTGTCTGGGTGTCCTGGTGCCTCTGAAATAGCTCTGTAAACACAGAGCTATTTGCACATAGTAGGATAAATCTACTTAACCAAAATCATTCAGCCCCATATCTCTGTGCTGTGAAACACCAGACTTTGAAATTGCACAAACCCAAACTCTCTATTTGAGTGTTGCTTCTATTTGCCCACATGAGCATGTAGCGCTTATCTAAATGACGACTTTTAAAGTAGATCAGTTTGACCTACATGTGCAGGATGTATAACAAAATTACACTTTTGAACGTTAGTGGAGTAAACTCACTTACTGCAGCAGAGACTAAATAACAGCTGTCACTGCAGAAATATTGTGCAATTTAACAGGGTAATGAAAGCGCTGTACAACTCCAGAGAAAGAATAAAGGGAAAATCGAAACGACTGATGATTTCACAACAGAACAGTGAGACTGAGGGTTTTGGAGAAGTAGAAAGAGTTCATTGAGAGTAGGCATCCGTAGCACATAAAGCCTTGTTTTAACCCAGATCACTCTATGATACTACTCAGGCAGTATATGTATGTTTTTATTAATGTGACAGTTCTTTGGAAAAACTATTATCCTTGATTCTTTCATAGTAAGCTTTTAAATTGGCCTAAAAGCTGTGTGGACAATTTATGCTGGCAGCAACAAGACTACAGTGGTTTTAAGACTTGGATATTATACTCACTGCACAGAGAACTGTTCTACTGAGCACAAATGGCATTTAAAACATGGATCTTTGGAGTCTGGGATACCTTGGTGCAAGCAAATAAACCAAGCATTACATTACAGTTCTGCTACTGACAGCTTGCAAACCTCCTGACACTTGTCACTGTGAAGATTAGGGTTTACACATTTGGTTTTGTCTTTTGGAAGGTGAGAGGTGATAAAGGTTTAGATGAAGCTCTTCACACGCCTCTACACTAAACTATAAACTGATTTGATATGCATATAATTGAGGTATTCATAGTTTTGCATGCGGTAATTTGTGTGCAAAACATATTTGTGCCATGAAATCTATCTTTCATGGAGCAAAATGCAAATGAAAACAAAATACAAATATGCTAATTCTTTGTATGAAATGCAGGGTGAAGAGCTGCTCATCATGGCAAAGTGACAAATATTTATTAAGAGTACATGCCTGTTAAAAAGGGTGAGCTTGACAGTTTGCGGATGAAAGCATTTTTGTAAAATTTAGATAATGATTGGCATGAGTATCTCACGATTTAAATGCCTGCTGGTTATCTTTATTGCTATGTCAGAAATGTGGTTCACAACTGCTTTTATCAAAATTTTATAAGTTAATAATACTATGATTTATGATTCACTAACTCCACAATTATTGTGGCCAAAATCATTCGCAATAACGATATTATTGCAATATCTATAGCAAATTTGAAATAATAATAATGATAATACTAATACTTATAATGATGCTATCAGTCAAATTCATGTTTAACTTTGTTTTTGTGTGTTACGTCTCTTTGATTGGCGAATGAATCAGATTCGAATATGAGTAGGGAGGCGGAGAGAAAGCCTGTTACCATAACTGTTTGAAAAGAACAAATAAATTTAATGGACAGTGGAAATGCAACCAGATGCAAAAGATCCACAAGAGCTAACATCTGCCATCATATTATTATCACGTGTATTATTAACACAATATCAATATTTCACATTTTAAATATCAGGGTTATCGTCAATACCGGTATATCGTGATGCCCCAACTATGATTTTTTTGGCATGAAAACAGTATTTTGTGCCTGCATCAAGTTCCCCACACTCAATTTGACTCTTTTAACAAAACCGATTCCCTCTTTTGCCCCTTGCTAATCATAAATTGAGCTGCTTGTAAACAATCACCCTTGGCTTGACCTGTTTCCATCATGTTGAAAAATGTCACCTGTCAGAAATCCTCCCTCAGGATGACTGAAGGTGCGGCTTCCCAGTTCAGTTTCCGCTACTCTCTGTGCTGGCTGTTTTCATGGCTCCGTCACTTTATCATTACTAAATAATAATCTGAGAAACAATATGAGGTGAGATACTGGGAGGGCAGTGGGCGGAGAACTGCGGGGCGTTCACTCATAGAGGATATCCTGTACACTTCTTTTATGGAACATGGCGAGCTGAGTGATTTCCTTGATTTCCTCTAACTCCAGGTTCATGTGTGTTTGTAGGGGTGGGTGGGGTTTTGTGCACGTGTGTTTTAGGGTGAGAGTATTACAGGGCTTTGGGGTGGATACACCAGCACTTCTAAAAGTGTACAGTGTACCGTTAAAGCTCACATAACATTAAAAGTACCCTTTAAATTAAAGACCAATTCAAAAGTCACACTGAACATTATGTGCTGCCCTTTATGAATGCAGCTTGAATGCAAAATGTTTACTGGACAGAAAGAGGAACAAAAATAAGTCAAATGTTGGCCTTTCGTAGAAGAAGTGATGCATAATGAAACACACTATATATATA